AAAAAATCGTAACTCCCAATGTGGTGAACATTCAAGTTTGGAACTTTTGCGGATCAACTCTGAATACATCAGTTCAAAAATCTGTAAAATTGCAGTTAAATTGGATATCGGGTTGATTTTCTAGAATTTTTCAAACTTTTACGTAAATAGTCCGACTAACTTTCAAAAACTGAGACCTCCGACAGTGAAACAGTCCAAAGCTGAGCTGTACCATAAAATTGGAAACGCGATCAATTTGCCTATAAATCTTCCAACATTGTCCACCCTGTTTGTTCTTCAGTGACGAATATCAATTTGCATTAGATTGTGACAGGGTTTATGGCAACTGCAAGGTGAAGGGTTGGGTTTCATGCGAACGGTTCCATCGAAGGGCCTGCCAGGTCTCACGTGTCGCGAAGCCCCAAAAGTCCGTCTTTTTGCGTTCCTTGAACACTGCTTTGGGATTTTAAGAAGGAAGTTGACTGACTGATTTTGTCTGATTTTTTACCTGAACAGTCTAGACTATTCCGAAGCAAAATTCGCAAACAAATCCTCCAAAGGAGCCCAACCGAGATCCGATTCTTGCCTTTCCTGAAATAAGTCAATCAGATCACGCGCCTCCATTCAATTAATATTATAGCAAACAATGCAAATAAGTAATTTTCGTCTTTGTCATGACGCCGATTAGCATACAATATGACGTTTGCGAATTTGTTTTTGTCTTTATAAGTCAAACGTGCCGCCCATACTGATGATGGTCAGTGTCGTGATATCGTACACATACATATGATATTGCAGGAAAATCCTGTTCTATATGGACGGAGTTCCTCGTTTCACTCCCATCTACGATTAATTTGGCACGTTTTGATTATCGATTGTGTATTGATTTCCTTCTTGTCGCTTCCAACTGGAAAGTCCAGTCGAGTTAAATCGGGACATTTCGGAGGTCACATGAAACGCACCACGACCCACAACGCTAACTAGAGGAAATTTTTCACAATTGGTGTGACCGCATTCAATGCGAGCAAACCGGCTCTGAAGATGCAAGCCGCTCGTGCTTGCGAAACGTCAGGAAGAAATTCTAAGTTGTAGATAAGTTCTATATTGTTGAGGCCGATTCATTTTTTTACAAACTTCTTTTTGGGTATTT